CCCCCCCCCCCCCAACTCGTGTCCCCTCAAAAATAACGAGTGCATGACGCCCCTGATTGTGTCCAATGTGTATTTGAGAAAAACAATTCATAATGAGATTTTCCCACATTTTCATTTGTTTTAGTTCAATGAAAGGTTCGATTTTTTTGTGATTTTTTTTTGAAATAAAAAGATCAAAAGGATTAATAATGCAGGTTTATTTTCACAGCCTTCTTTGATCATATTTACCAATGGTACCAACAATTCTGACCACGATTGTATATATGCTTGGCCTAGTGGCCAAACTTCATACTGCATCAGTAAGAGCAGAGTGTGAAGGTTAGCACAGCTGTACATAAAATATTGCAATCCCCATTACTTAATGAGAGACATATCAAAATTCAAAAGTGGACAAATTGTTGGTGCATGTCTTGCTGGTGCATATGTAATGTCTGGGTGTATTGAGAGCCACGGTGTCCAGGGTAATGTCGGCATACAGTACCACCATGAAGTATAAACCAAATCCAGCAGGAGTAACTGTTGACGCAAGAGATTGTCTGAAACCCCTTTATTCCCATTGTCCCCTATTTAAAATGAGTATAAGAGTTCATTGAGCTAAAATGTGGATTTTATTTTCATTTTAACCACTAGATGGCACAAAACCTCACCACAGCACTTTCCTAAACATTCATGTTTCACTATACACCTCATGAAAAATGATGCTACATCAAGCAACCGACATTGCATGAACTCCATGAACATATTTGGCAATTGGAAAAATGCAACTATGCAGTGATGATTTGGGTATGTCACAAACTTCTATAAGCAAAGTGATCACACAAACAATCACAGCACTTTCAGAACTTCGTGTCGCTGTTCATTTCCTATCAAATATGTTAAGACATTACCATACACACACACACACACACACACACACACACATATATATATATATATATATGTATGTATGTATGTATGGTAAAACAGAAAAAAAAAATGCCTATAATTTTAAAGTGAAGGCTTATACTACACTTAAAGGTGCTATTTTATTTTCTTCTTGGACAACCATAGTCTTCAAAAGGCTGTGTCATACCTAGCAACGGGGTCAGACCCGCCTCCTCACTAAGGTAAATGTTTTTGTCTTTTCCTCACTCAGAGTTGCTCTTAGATTGGTCTTGAATCACTCTTTAGCTAAGACTCCTACGTAGATTTTTTAAGCTAAATTAGGAGCTTTCTGAGAGGGTCATATGACATTGCTAAAAATAACTTTATTTTGCGTATTTGGTCTAATGCAATGTGGTTTAAGGTTAAAAAACACATTATGTCCCACGTACTGTACATTATTTCTCCTTTATGCCCCGCCTTTCTGAAACGTGTCGATTTTTACAAAGCTCATCGGTCTGAAAAGTGAGGTGTGCTCTGATTGGCCAGCTATCCAGTGCGTTATGATTGGCTGAATACCTCAAGCGTGTGACGGAAATGTCCCTTACCATACTGTGATAGCCCTGTCCTAATACCCACACTTACAGTCTTTGCACTTGATCATTTGCCTACTTACATGACATATTTTCAGTAGTTTCATGAAGGGACACAGTATTGTAAAAATGTAAGTTAAGTTTTTACAGAGCTTTATTTGCACATTTTGATTGTCAATACTTTGAAAATATGGTTAACAAGTGTAATTATTGGTGCAATATGAAACATAAGTTGCTTCTTTTTGTTTACTTTGATCTTCAATACACTACAGCATTTGTACTCCTGTGATCTTATATTAATTATAGCTATATAGTATGTAATATCTATTAATTTAACTTACACTGGAAAGTTTCCTTGACATCTTATGCTTTCAAGGAACTTCCTGAACATAATAAATGATCAGACACACTTAGACTCAAACACCACTCTGAAGCAGTATTTTGGAGTAGTTTGGATTTCATGTGCATTAAGGGAACTGACCTTGATGATTGGATATTTATTTATTTATTTGTTTGTTTGTTTGTTGTTGCTGTTAAATGTTGTAGATTTAATGAGAAATGACCAAATGATAATCATTAAAATTACCAAATATATTTTGAGAAAGTTCTTGTTAATGGTTTTCAGTTTTGTTTAAGGTGATTAAATCAACAGCTTTTTAACTGGAAAAAAAAAGTAAAAGTATTTTATTTGGGATAAAACCGCTGCTGTGTATTGATACTTACTGATACTAATACTTTTGCTGAAATAATAGTATGTCATGTCTGGACTTTTGTGTTGAAGTGTTTCCTGTGCCATGTTTGTAGTCAGTTTGTAGTCTCCCCAGTTGTGTTATCTTGTTAAAGGGGTCATATGATGCTGCTAAAAAGAACATTATTTGGTGTATTTGGTGTAATGAAATGTGTTTATGCGGTTTAAGGTTAAAAAAACACTATTTTCCACATACTGTACATTATTGTTTCTCCTCTATGCCCCGCCTTTCTGAAACACGTAGATTTTTACAAAGCTCATCGGTCTGAAAAAGCGAGGTGTGCTGTGATTGG